GGTCTACAAGCAAAAGATTTACATGGCCATGTATGGTGGACTGAGCCTCAAGAGCACATGCTTGTGGTCCAACTCATCACACATAGCCTTTCTTGATCGGGGCCCCCCATCGAGGGTACCTGGTCTGATTGAGATGTGGACATGTGAAGGTGTTTTCCAGTAAGCAATACTGGGCATGTGCAGGTATACATGCATTGTCATCCTGTACAGGCACAGCGAGCTGCCTTGGTTCCAGTGGCGAAGTACTATGTGGATGGCAAAGGAGTCCGTAGGTCTACTGGCAAGAAGAAGGAACTTCGACAGAGCCAGAGCCGGTCTCAGCTGATGGAGATGCATGGTAGAGAAAGAGTGAACATTTGGTGTTTGCAGCTGGTGGCCATGTGTCGAGGACGTACACGCCAGCCTTCGGGAATGCCTTGGCGGACATCCTGCCCACCATGCATGAAGGCATTCGGGGCCTACGTATGGCAAATGTATCTGACCTGAATTGTCCTATTTCAACATACAGTCCTCACAGTGATACAGTGATACTGTGAAAACCTCGGCACGGTCAAACTGTCTTCACATGCACGACATCAGGTATACAAACAGGTGCCAAGTTGATGTGTATATGCATTGTATACACATCATGTGGCATGCATATGAAGTTTGTATGTCTTTATAAATAATATATATATATATATATATATATATGCCAGTATACCATGTCTATATCTATATAGGCATGTATTAAGACTTTCTCTGCACAGGTGGCACTCATAAAGCTCCAATTTGTTGCACACACACCCATGTCCAGATACCTTGTGCATTCCGCACAACTCCTCAAAGTCTGTCTACAGAGGTGTGTATATATATATATATATGCTATGTGGATTCTAGATGTAAATCCCTTGCAATTCCCAACCACTTGCTGCTGAGGATGATGCTGGCATTCGGGTCACCAACTTGCTCGTTGCCATGTCAGCAGACCAGCAACTCTGGGAGGAGGCTGATATGGTCAGTGTGGTGCGGTATTTACGTGGTGCCTCATCACTAGCAGTTCCAGCTGAGATCAAGAGTGTGCTGAGCATGTGATTGTTTGAGGCAATTAAAATGCATTCTTTCTTCTGCAAGCAGGACTGATGCTAGCATGTGCAATTGGCAATGGCCGAAAAAACATCTGCAGCCAGAAGATGATCCGTCAAGATGTCCAAGCATGACCAATATGCTGCTGCTTTTGTAGCTATATGATACTGTAAACAAGGGTTTTTACTTGTTACCTAGATAAGGTGGTGACGTGCGGGCAAAAATGGTTTCCGGAAACCTGTTTTTCCCGCGGCCCTCCCGGAAAAGCATGTAAACACAAAAAAAAATAAGAAAAAAAACGCAACAGAAATAAACGCAATGCGCCAGGAAACCAGAAACTTTGCACAGGAAACCAATTTCTGCAACGCATTTGCACGCATTTTCAGCGTGCAGAAAATGCCTCAGCAACGAGGGTGAAAAAACCAGTTTAGCCCGCATTCCAACACACAACAGATTGTATTTCGAAAGAACAGCACGATGCTCAATCAACCAGTTGTGCCCGCAAGCATTTATCGAACAGCCTGCCTGTAAACCACTTCTTCCCGCAAGCAACATACCATGACGAGAACTATTTTCAACTTGCTGCTACCACACCATGAAACAAAGACTTGAAAACCAAAATTTCCCGCAAGCAACACACAATGGACAGTGCTGTGAAGCATATACTCCAAAGCACTATCATATATATTTATATAATATTAATATAGTGTTCTGTCTTTTTATGCATAAACCATTTTTGCCCGCATGCTATGTCTGATTAAGTTACATATTTTTTGATCTATTTGTTAAGAAGACGCAAGTGGTGAATACAAGTCTCCAATCAAGTCTTTTTAACCCAAGCCATGTCCAATAAGGTAAAGGAAGTGCTTGAGTAAACCGGTTTTGCCCGCAAGCCATGTTATATGTCCCAATAACATGCTGCAAAGAGGTTTCCTGGTAGACTTTTTTGGCCCACTAGCCATGTTATATATCCCAATTATATTAATAATATGGCAGAAATGCTTAAGAAAGGCCTTTTCCTAAACCGTTTTAGCCTGCAAGGCATGCTATGACAAGTTATATATTTATATATATAGAAGAATATATATAATCATATATAACAAGCTCTATAATATATATATATATATATATATATATATACAGACTGCTTGCAATCATTGCAACTGGGCTTTGTCATACAAGTGATATATACATATATATATAATTATATATACTACATGCAGATACATATATATATATATATATATCTATATAGGCATGCATGTGCTCCTTCTGTACACCAGTATAGAGTGGCTGTGCTTGCACTATATATATATATATATATGTCGAAATGGCCATTGTTGATATCGATATATACATGTGCCTCCAGGTACCGATGCGGTGGAAGTGTACAAGAGGCAGCGTGCTGCAGCAGGTGCCACCCCTTCCCTTGCTGTTGCATTTCATCTGTGCATGGGTCTGACATGTCGAACTAGCACATGTGCCCGGTAAATTGATAGATTTATGCAACAGAAGAGTCTGTTGTCTGGTTCAGGTTGTACAAAACAACATATGGTAGTGGTTTTACTTGTACATACATCTCGTGACAAGTGAGCCTTGCCCAGTCTTCTGACCAAATGAAGTACATGTCTTATTTGTTTGAATACAGAAACATACATGTAGACACACTCTGTATCAACCAGAAACCCAGCAAGTAGCTGCTCCTTCCTGTTGAAAGTACTGTTGGCACTGGGCGGATTTCATCATCATTAGCTTATGTATACATAGGCTGACCAACAAATGTGTAGATTGGTATAACAGTATACATAGAGTGCTGTATGTGTACATGTATACTGAGTGTCTGAGTGCCATGGTGGTATGGGAAACTGCTTACTTTTTTGTGCTGAAGTCATGTATACATATATATATATATACATATGTATCCAGGTCTTGTCTGCTATAGACATTATTCAGGCTTGTCTAAAGATATGTGTATACATATATACACCATGCATTGTGACTCAGTATATGGACATAAACATATATATATATATATATATATGTCATATTCAACTGTGATATATCTTCACATGTTCACAATACCGACTGCTGGTGTGCTCCATGTCTGTCATTCGGATGCAAGGTTGGGATGAGATCCATGTGCTGGTATCGCAGGATTTTGGAGCAAGGTTGATTTGGTGCCTATTTCAGCCTGCCCTGTGGAAGCCATGCATCTCCATGGTGGTTCCCGGCAATGGAGTTGTTCAAGTTTGCAGCAGGGTGCTGGGAGGCTTACAGGGCAAAACCCTTCTATTCCCTTGGGGGTTACGCCTGTGAAGGTTTCTGAACTTGCATTATGTGTTGCATGTGATGCTATATGGGGTAGCCCCATCTCCCTGTCCTCCCTGTCCTCCTATCCAAAAGCCAAGGTAAAGATCGAGGAGCAGCCCTTCTGGATCCATGCGGATGTGTTGAGGACCTTCAGCCCCAGGACCCGGTCCATGCTGTCGAATTTGCCAGACACACCACAGTCGAGGGGCATACTGCAGCAGATGTTGCAAGTGCATGGCCACTATCGTCACTTGTCTGCATGCTTTGCTGTTATCGTCATGATACCACGACATGTGGCAAGTATAACTATAATCTCACATGTGCATATCTACATATATACATAATGTTGATATTTCCATATACTGCAGAGCATGCTGTTTATTGTCCTTCACACACTCTGCAGGTAAGCTGTAGTGTTGTTATGTGTGGGCATGTCGTGTGGGAAGATAGATGTCTCATACTAGAGGTTGGTGTAGGATAGTCCACCAAGTTTACTTCTGTCGGGAATGATACTTGGTGACCTCAAGTCTTCATTCAGGGTAACACGCATCATGTTCTGTTGAAGGTTCATGTTGGGGGGGTACATAAGAAAAGGGTGCATGTGTAAGCAGGCATGCATGCAAACAAACTCTAGCAGAAAATGTGCTGTCCATCCATGTGATCTAGAAGGGAGTGGATCAGTGATGCATCTATCTGTTCAAGGGTCCCTACATGACATCATCATCGGGGTGCATGGGCTACAGGAGAAGGTGACAAGCAATGTGTACTCACATAGACGAATGGTTCAGGTTTCATGGTGTTGTGCTTGCTACCCTCCAAAGATACATGTATGTGTGTGTATATATATATATATATATATTTGGATTCAACTGCATGCCGGCAGAGCTGTTCGCCTGTTTCATGTGGCTAGCCCTGCAATAAACAACACATATGTATCGACATGTGTTTGTTTTGTGTGTGTCTCTATGTATACAAAATGTTGTATGTATCTTTGCTTACCTATAGTACAATAATACCCATGTCTACATTACATGTGTATGTGTATATGTGTATATATATACACATGTAGACAATTACACACATATATCTGTTTATGTATATATATACAAACATATGCACTTGTCGTGGGGTTTCTTGGTGGGCAAGATAAAGGGTGAGGTTCCATAGGGTCTTTCGCTGCCAAACATGATTCTGTGGGGTTCGTTCGTTTAAAAAAAAGAACATGCTGCATGGTTGCAGTGTTCCAGCTAGCCTTCGACATGAGTCCGAATATCATGCAGCAAATGCATGGCCAGTGGTCCAGTCTTCCGAAGCAGAGTACTGTAGAAGAGTTAGATGACATCCATAATCATATATATATATATATATATATATATATATATATACATATAGACACATGCAGATGGGCGAAAACTAGTGGTACTTACATGTGTAAGTGTGTTAGTAAGTATACATAGTATGCATGTTTACATGTCTACAGAACCATGATATATGCACATTGTCATTTGCATACATGATGGCATCTTGACTTGTGCGCTTGCTGTGTGACATTGAATTGCTTCTCCAGATCTTGGCTCTTTTCAGGTGCTGAGGCATTGGGCCCTTCGTCTCCTGTGAGGCCGAAGATGGAGGCCGATGAGTATGGGCGGCCCCCTCTGCCTCCCCCGCCTTTTCCGATGCCTCCACCTCCGGCTATAGCCACTATAGGTTGGGGTCGGGTGGTTCCACCCCCCATGAAGGTTGCACGACGAGATGTGGCCAGTGAGCAGCTGGAAGAGGCTAAGGCGCTCTTTGCTGCCAGGCGTCAAGCACTGGCAGCAGACATGGCACCGGGGACACCGGCGAAGAGCCCACCACTCAAGAGGACTCGTGTGGATGGCACCGATGCAGAGGTCCAAGCTGCTGGTGCTGTGCCCAAGTTGCCGGGCTCGGAAGGAATGGTGAAGCAGCAGGCTGCCTTCCCAAATGCTTCGCATGGGGGTGCAGGACGTCCTGCAGTGGCGAGTGATGAAGCCAAGGCTCCTTCAAAACCGCCAGCGAAAGCCCGGCCAATAAAGGCCATGGAACAGCTGCAGCAGAAGAGGGCTGCGGTGAATCCGCAGGTGGTTCATGCAGGACAGCAGCCGCAGGGCCATGGTCCGGAGCCAGTGGTGACCGGAAGGGCTGAATCGGAAAGTGAAGCTCCTGCTGCTGCTGCCTGCCCAGAACAGCCTGGGAATCCACCTGCACCTCCGCAACATGTGCAGCAGATGAGGGCTGCTGTGAATCCTGAGGTGGTTCATGCAGGACAGCAGCTGCAGGGCCATGGAGGTTTGCTACAGGCTTCTGTGGGGCAGGTTCCGAAGACACCGCCGAGAGTGCCTCAGCAGATGCCACAGGCTGGAGCGCAGCAGAGGATGCCACCACCTACAGGGCATCAGCAGATGGCACATGCCGGAGTGCAGCAGCCTATGTCGTTGCCTACAGGGTATCAGCAGATGCAACATGCTGGAGGGCAGCATACTATGTCACCGCCTGGGGGGCATCAGCAGATGATGCATGCATCACGGCAGGAAGTTCATGGACCAGCTGCTGTGCCACAGCAGAGTGTTGTGCCCAAGATGCCAGGAAGTAGTGGCAAAGAGGTTCGGGAGCAGCAGCAGCAGCAGCAAGGCATGGACAGGATGCCGCAGAGCCCCAGCATGAGCATGGTGAGCCCACACAGACAGAAGGTGTCTGTGCAAGCCCAGGCCCAAGAGACTCTGAGGATGCAGCAGCCTGGCATGCCGCAGCCTGGCATGCCGCAGCCTGGCATGCAGCAGCCTGGCATGCAGCAAGTGCCCATGCAGCACCCTGGCATGCAGCAACCGCCCATGCAGCACCCTGGCATGCAGCAAGTGCCCATGCAGCACCCTGGCATGCAGCAAGCGCCCATGCAGCAACCACCCATGCAGCAAGCGCCCATGCAGCACCGTGGCATGCAGCAACCGCCCATGCAGCAACCACCCATGCAGCAACCGCCCATGCCGCAATCGCCCATGCAGCAACCGACCATGCAGCAACCGACCATGCAGCTGCCGACCATGCAGCAACCGACCATGCAGGTGCCGACCATGCAGGTGCCGACCATGCCACAGCCGATGATGCAACCACCGGTACTACCGATGCCCACCATGCAGCTGCCGATGCAGAACCCGACCATGCTGCCCCCACACCCGGGTGTGGTGCAGCCTACCCAGCCGGGCTCTCTTGTGCCACCGACAATGTTACCGGGAATGCAGGTGCCTCCAGCGCTGCCCCAACCGACAAGGATGGGTCTTGCGATCGAGGCAGGCTTCTTCTCACTGAAGAACATGTTGGGAGATGCAGCACCAGGCAGTGGCCTGCCACCAAGCATCTTGGATCAGTATATGCATCTGGTGGAGGAGTGTGCGAAGCTCAATGCGAATGCATCGACATCTTCGACAGGCAGCCCGAGTCCGCTGACGAAGCAAGCTCCAGAACAGGTGGAGCAAAGTGTGAGCAGAGACCCAGCTTCGAGTGTCGTGAATGTGGACGAGGCAGAGAAGCAGGCGGACATCCCCACGACATCTCCGTCAGAAGACATGTCTGCAGAAGCAGCTCCCGAGAAGGGAGATGTTGAGCAGAAGTGACTCGGCCGAGCTGCTCGAAAACAGTTGTGGACTTGTGCTGCTGACCTTGTACATGTTAGTTTTATGTGCACTCTTAAAAACCATGTCATGTCTTGTGTGGTGCAGGACTTCCCACCAGCCGAAGATGAACTCGCAGACGCACCCCGATGCCTGGGGGGCCCTCTACCGCTACTGCAACGGCAGGTCTGCCAAGAACAAAGATGAGGCCGTGCGGAGCGAGATACTCGAGAAGTGGAAGCAAGGTGCACTCGTGTGTGTGTCACTTCGTCAGCCAAGTGCTTGAGATGCAGCATGAAACATGTTAGGTTGACTTGTCTCTTTCCACCCTCCTCTCCAGCTCTCTCTCTCTCTCTATATATATATATATACTCATAAATAGCCTGATCCCTATGCTATGTAACATACCCTCCAAAAGGACACATGTTTCCTGCTAAGTCCATGAAACTATACAGTTTCTTATGTCTTGCATGTCTGCTGATGGAATCTATATATATATATATATATATATATCCATATAGGTGCATGCACTCATAGACATCAAGTTATTTCTCTCTCTCTCTCTCTCTCTCTCTCTCTCTCTCTCTCTCTTTCTTTCTTTTACCCTTTCTCTCTCTCTATCTCTTTTGTCTGATGATATATACATATATGTATATGTATACATATAATTATATCTCACACCCAATGGTCTTCGGAACATATTTATGTATATTTTTCGGTCTGCATGTTATCCTACTCCACCTGTGTGTTTATGCATGTTGTTTCATGGCTCAGGAAAGTTTTGAATGATATCTATATATATATATAAAGTATACATGTTTCCATGACTGATGTGGTGTGTTTGTATGCTCATATGTTATACACGTAATAGACATAGTTTTAGACATCCATACATGTGAAGACATAACAATCTATACATGTGCCAGTGTGTGTGCAACTGCTAACTTCCTCAAGTCTTGAGGTGTTGGTGAGTGCATGTGCACCATGTTGCATTTGCATGCTGCTGTGTAACAGCACAATGATTAAACATCAATGTGATATTCTTTCCTATCTGCATATACATAAACTACTTACCACTGTGTGTGTATGCTCTTCTACACGAGAAGGTGTCTTTGTGGAGCTTCTTGCTGACATGTTGAAAGAAGCAGAAATATGAATGTAATATAGAAGAAATATATATATATATATATATATGTATATGTATGCACATATATGTATACATTATATAGATCTATATATCTATATATATATGTATATTACGCATGTGTGTATACCTGCATGGCACTGGCCTGCCTGCACACTACAGAGGATCGGTAGTGGGGTTGTTGCAGGCAGAAGGACTGCATTGGGTCCAAAAGTAAGCAAGTATAGTTTTATGGTATGAGGCTTAATTATGTCTGTCTATGCTCGTCGGATGCAACTAAATGAGACATATGCCCATGTATATGTGTCTGAATATCTACATGTATATATACATACCTATAAAGGCATGTATTGGCCATTGAGCTTTATGGGGCATCCTTGCATACAGGTATTCTGAAAGGGAAGTGGGTGGCTCATGTGCATCCTTGTGCAGGAGGCTATATCAGGCAGAAGCTGCTCAAGGACTTCATCGAGAAATGCTACCAGCCCCACAATTCCACTGGGAATGTTGTCTTTCGTCTGCATTTGCATATGTCTCCCTTCACTGCATCAATCATGGTTTGATTCCTCGGCTGTGCTTCGATTTGAGGCTCGTCTGGAAGCTGTGTTCAAGCTCCGCCAGCTCAGCAAGGACTGGAGGAAATCCCTGAAGGGGTTCGAGTGGTTGACTCCAGCGGAGATGACCGCCCTGGGTTGGCCTGAGTGCCTGGGATTTGCACCAAATGTGTAACCGAGCTGCTGCTTCTGAGAATGGCATGTATGTGTCATCATGTGGTGTGCCTGAATCCTTGGTTGTAATTACTGTGTGTATTACAAGCATTTATAATTTATTGGCTTTGAGGGACTGTGTGAATGTTTAGGCATGCAGATCTGATTGAAAACGGTTTCATTTATGCTCATGTGGTTCAATGGCTTCTGTCCTGTGGGCTGCATGTGCACTACCTTGTGGTCAAGAGAGAGTGCTGTGAGACTGATATTGGCTTCATGTGCCTCTTAGCCATCTAAGGAAGAAGGTGCTTGGTGCCGTAGCGCACTGCGAAAAAAACAAGCTATACAAGAAATGCCCATACGAGGGCATCAGAAAATTTCTCGTTCAGACGAGTGACAAGGTGGAGTGCTTGGGCTGCACTTCATCGTGATGAGACATGCGGCTGAGTGTTGGTGCAAGCATCTTATCCAGTTTGCATTCACATTCTGCTGGAAATTATGCCAATATTGACACATGCCCAGGCAGGGGTCGGAACGCCTTCGTGAGTTGGAAAGCATCCTCGAGTCAGCAGGTTGGTGGTTCCCCTCCAGATCATTTTTTCTGTCAGCTAGGCAGCAATGTGCAAACATGTTGTGCTAGGCACCTTTGATGAAAACTTCGACATGAGCCTGGGTGTGGGCGACCTCATTATGGAGGATGAGGATGAGAAGAAGCCCATCGACGGCAAGAAGAAGATACCTGGTGCCCTACCGGAGATCGATGGTGAGGAGACTGTTGCTGATTACCTGTCAAAGTATAAGAAGGCATGTTTGGCCAAGAAGAACCACCTCAGGGAGGTCAAGGACAAGCTCAAGGATGATGGGACGACAGGTCATGAGCCACCCGTCGGCAACTTTAAACTTACATGAGAGTCTGCTACATTCATGTAATACACACATATATATACATATATATCTATATACATATATATATATATACTCCATATGGATATGCATGGCTGTTTGCATGTACCTTAAAATTATATTTTGCCAACATGTCTACACATGTATAATGTATATACACATATATGTATATATACATGTATACATGAAAGTTTTTTTGCTTAATGATAGATTTGTCTTTGAGAGAGAAAAGGAGAGAAAGAGACACAGACACAGTGAGACAGAACATGCGATGTTTGTGTGCCTGTTCGTGCTCCCTCACTTGCAGTGTGCTGTGGAGTGACTTGTGTACACAGTTTCCCAGGGATGATCTGAAGCGCCTGGAAGATGAGATGCGCTGCTGGGCTTGCTCTAGTCATCATGCTGTTGTTGCATCAAGATGGTGATTGATTGAAAGTCTGCTGGTCATGCTCACTGAAGGTTGCCTCAACAACCTGTACCAGGGCCTCTGTGACCAGGAGTTGAAGCAGAAGCATGCGCCATGTGGCAGGAATGAAGATCTTCTCAGTTCAGGTTGCTAGGGAGTGGAGGGGAGGCTCGGATGTGTTTTGGTGTGATGGCTGAGGTCCAAGAAGGACTTCCATGACTTGACAAACCAGATCAAGGATTCCCTGCTCCGCTTCACGAATGCCGCCAATGCGTGCAGGTCTCAAGCTTAATAATTTCGTGGTGGAGTGGAAGCCATCTGGCTCCAGTGTATGCAGTTTGACTGATGCTCATTCTTTGAATGCATGAATGTGTGTTAGTGTTCTAGACATATTCACCTCTGGACATATATGTATACATATATATACACATATAAAATACATTCACTTGCATGCATCTGAGTGTGTTGACTGAGTGTATATGTATTGTTGCAGCTATACATCAAGATCTCTATGTGTAGATCTGGAACAAAAATTAAGCTTAGCAACTCTCTATACTTTGTGTGTGCTTCCGATTTCCTATATATCTACCTATGATGTGGTAATATGTGCCATATTCCTGTCCAAGGTTGGGGCTCATGGGACTGTGGAAGTGTCTTTCATGTAGTCACTGTAAATGTGTTGGCTTTCTGGTTTCAGCTAAAAGCAGGTATAATGCATAGTAAAGAAAGTCCCACGGAGATGCAGAACCTACCATGCCCATGTATGCCTTTGTATCTCTCCATATATCTCTGTATGTATATGTATACATGATATGTATATATATATATATATATATATATGTTTTTTGCATGCATGTCAAGAACAAGTGATGTCTGTAGAAGCTTATTCAACCCACCATGGCAACCTGTCACTGATCAGTGGGCAGGTGTGTTTGCATTGAATTGTGTTTGCTTTGCTTTTCAGGTCCTTTCTGCGCAAGACGGTGGCAAAGGGAAAGGCCAAGCCGAAGGCTCCCAAGGAAGAAGCAGCAGAACTGGATAATTGAACATGTTCGGTCTCTCTGTGCAGAATGCCAGAGTGGGCCCTGTGCAAGATCTCCTGGAGCATGCATGTGGGTAATCGGGTACACATACGGAAATGCACAACAATGAGGCTGCTGCTGCTCTCGTGGGATGGCGCATTTTTTGAAGTTCAGCTGTGTCTCTCAGTAGTGTCGCACGTCGCCGTGGCTGATGAGATGGAGAAGAAAAGATCTTGCTGAGGATAGTGCCTCTGTTGACCTGCACGACTTGTGCATGTGTGATATATGTATATATATATATACATATGTATTATGCATGTATGTATAAATAGTGTGTACCTGCATACAAGACAAGCAACGATGTCCACCCCTTTATCAGGATGCCCCGTCCTAGATGCAATATATATATATATATACATTTGTATGTATGTATATATATATATATATGCCTTTGTGACATGATTTGTGTGTATTTGTTTACATGTGCAACTGTTCTGACATTTATATGTAACATGGTCAATATATTCACACATGTGCACATCTGTGTCTATATACGTTACATATATGCATATATATATAGATATGTAAACACACCTCTGTATATACCGTACATGTGTATACACACTTATACATATATTCATACATGTATCTGTATATCTGATGTATGCATACATATATGTACACATGCAAACATAGTTTCAGGTTTCTGTATACCTATATTTGCATCGGTACATAACTTCTCAAACCTATATATCCTTGTATGTTTGTAGTGTGCTGTATCTCCATGTTTATCTGCACCGTTATGATATATTAGTATATATCTACATGTGTATATACTGTTATTTCTATAACTATATGTTATACTTATAATATGTGCAGACATGTATATACACATAAAAGTATAACGATAGATAGATGTGTGCATACATATGTATATATATATATATGTACACACCATTTGGATAGTGGTCTGTGTGTATGTGCTGCATATCTAGCAACACAACATACCGACCACAAATCCTGAATCACATCTGTAGAGGCACATGTGCTATCATCGAAATGCACATGTGCACACACAGCTATGAGCACATGTGTGCATATCGAATGAGTTACTTATGTTGTTGTCCATTCGATAATAAGCTCATCCTGTTTAGACATAGTTGTACATGTATGTGTACTGGACATGTGTGTATATGTGGCTTTGCCTCTCTGACCTGCTTGCCTCATGTGAGTATATATAAGTATGGATGCCTGCATATGCTAGTACATGTGCAATCTACTGAGAGAAAGAGACATGTATGTATGTAGCGCAGCAAGCTGCCCACGCAGGTGCAAAGGTCGTGGAGAATGTGCTCCAGACCTACATCGTCCTTCGGCATTGTGTGTCAACTATTATGTGTTTGTTTGAGCACAGGGTCCAGCTTATGAAAGCCTGACTTTGCTTTTTTGTCATGTGCAGATCTGCATGATGCCCAAGGCGCACAATGCTGCTGAAGCTTCGGCAATTGCATTTCAGAATGCAAACACCATGAATGAGGTGGATGTTTGGCGCAGTGCGCTCGTTCAGTTGGGACTGGCTCACCAATCGCCAAGCGACAAAGAGACTGTCTTTGTGAACAATGTTGAGGCTTTGGGGCTCACATTGACAACAAAAGTGAGCCTGAAGAATGTTGATTTCCCAGATGGAAGAAGGCTGCATCCGGTTCTTTCCTTGAGAAGCTTGGCCACGGAGATTCTACAAGATTTTCCAAAGCTGCTTATGTTTGGTCATGACTACAGGGAAATGGCACAAGTGGAAGCTGGTTTATCCGAATTTTGGGGACGATTCCGCCACACATGGCCTGACCATGATGTTTACACTACTCATGCCCAGCACTTGTCCCGCTGCATACCCTGCCGAATGCATGCTGATGAAGGGACTTCATTCCGGCGAGCTGGCATCTATCAGCAGAGTTGGGGCCCCATTATAAAGGCAGGGCCAGCAAGTGCATTGCACTGTTTCTTTTACACAGCCATGTTGGCAGATGACTACAAGGTCCATGTGGCAGCATAGCAAGTTTTTTCGTGGTTTCAGTGCTATGTGGAATGTAAATTGTGTGACTAGTGTAAGGTCGTAGCCAGCTAATTCAGGAAGACCATGTTGGCTATGGTGCAGGCAACAACACCCTGGACAGTCTCATGAGACACTTCGTGGAGGATGCGATGGACTGCTACTTGAATGGTGTGCCTTCAAGGCAGGGGCTGTTCTACATCGTGATACTCCGTCTGGAAGGAGATTTGCCAGCCCAAGCCAAACTGTCCCACTCAGGGCGCAATTATACGAATGACCCCAACCCTATATGCAGTTGGTGCCTTGCGGATGGGAGACAGATTCCATTCGGGGATTTCAGGAGGACTGCAGCCTGGCGGGCAACGATTTCCCAGCAACCCCCTTGGATGTCGAGGAGTCCTCTTCATGATCTACCAGGAGGTGAAGATGTTAGGTTCCTCTCGAAGGACCTGTTCCACATTTCACAGTTGGGCATTACAAGGACCTGTGTTGCATCTGTGATATGCTTTTTGGTCACGATGGGCCATTTCCAACCGTTGGTTGGTGGTACATCGGTGCCGGCATGCTTGAAAGAAGCATACAAGGATTTTGGGCACTACTGCAAGGCTGTATTGCATGAAACACCGGATGTGAAAACATTTACACGTGAGAACTTGCAGTGGACATCCAGAGCGAAGCTGCCAGATACCTCTTGGTTCCTTGCCGAAATAAAGCAAAACAACTTTGTTTGTACTTGTTGTGAAAGGACACTATACAAACAATATTTCCCCCTGTTTGAACTGAGGAAAGGCTCGGACGCACGCTTGCTCACGAAATGGCTGGTAGACTATTTGTCCCGTCCATTTCTTCTTGATGAGATCTCCCAACATGTGTTTGAACTGCTCTATGCCATAGACGACTTCCATCGGTTGTGTTACAAGCAGTGTGCACGCATCTGGATGAATGAAGCACAAATGGAGGCAGCTCGCAAATCCCTGGGCCGATTCTTGGTGAACTACTCGATGGCAGCCAAGAAGTGCCATGATCGGGGGTGGTTGTTCTTTAACATCACCCCGAAATATCATTACATGTTGCACATCGAGCACGACTTGCGGATGTCCATGGGCCATGAATGGGGTTTTAACCCCGCTTGCTTTGCCACTGAGATGGATGAAGACTACATGGGAGTGTCAAGCAGAATGTCCCGTGCTGCTCATGCACTTGGTGCTCCTCGCCGAACAGCGCAACGGTGGCTCATTTATTCCTGGTCCAAGTGGCGGCCCTGGAAGTTTCACATGTGAGCACCAGTGCTGGTGTGAAAACATGATGAGGCGAGTGTCACTTTCTGTCAAGCCAGCTATAATCTTGAACATATTGCAGTCTTCAGGTTGTCTGCAGTTGTACGAGCTATGCATGTCTCAGGCATGGATAAAGGAACATGTATTCAAATAACTCAACAAACATCATAAATGATGGCTGCAATAAACATGGACATTATAAGTGATATATTCCTGATTTCGGCTTTCATGGGTTTCATGTCGAAAACAACCCTTGGGTGGGAACAATCGAGTTTGCTTGCAGGCCCAACAACAACAACAACAGCACATATCCTGTCATGTCTGTGCTTGTGATAACACGTTTACTTGTTATTCCGTTTGTTTTCAGCAAAATGCTCAACATGTAAGAAAACCACAAACAATGAAAACAACAGAAAAATCCAGAAACCAATACTTTCTGGTTTCTCGGCATAAACCAAAAAAAAGAACTACAAACCCATCTACAGGTAGAGTCCATACAGATGCGTTGGAAGGACATAGGCGTGTTCTGTTTATTGTTTCTGTGTTTTCCGCTGGAAGGTTCTTCACTCTTTTGTGTGTGGAAGGTGTTTGTTCGTCTCTTGGGTGCGGGACTTTTAAGTGGTAGGCGGAGCGCACAGGCTTTGCACGGAAAGGCTTGCATCTTGGTTCGAGGTGACTCGGGAGAGAGGAAGCCGCCGCATCAAAATGGTTGCCCAGATCCCCTTTCGTTGGAGCCTCATTTCGTCCCGAGTGCACAGAGCTTCCCTTCCGTTCGACCGCCGCCTAGCATGGTGGAGCCCGTTTCGGCCACCATTCTTGCAGGTCTCGCAGCAGACTTCTTCGTCGGATGGATGGCAAAGAAGGCTTTCTTCAAAGGCTGCCGAACGGTAAAAGACATCTTGGAGTGCCTTGAGAAGGATGTGGTGAAGACAACCAGCGCCCTCTCGGATTACCTGCAAGAGAACTTCGACAAAGATCGCTCGGGATGTTTGAGCCCGGAGGCGATCCAGGCTGGTCTGCGCAAGCTTCGCCAAGACCTTCCAAAATTGACGGATGCTGGACAACGGGCCTCGATGACCTACATCATGGGCCTCATGCTCTACGCCGAGACAGCCTGTGCTAGTCTCAAGGAAAACGGCCCAGCCACCGAGAAGCGCCTCCGGAGTTTCGTGCCGCCCTATGCCAGCTTGGACAAGAAGCGGGCACAGATTGAGCTGATCGTGTGTTCGTTCATCCGATCGGCACAGCACAAGACGCTTCTGGAAAAGATCGAAGCCCGGCTTGTTGCTTTTTTGTTTGTGTGTGTGTGCGCGTGTTTTTTGATCCCTCTATCTGACGCCCGCAACTCAGGAAAGCAAGACCGCTGAGTATGCGGAGGACATCCTCTGGGAAACGATTGAGGAGCCGCTGAAAGAAGCCGTGGGTGCCATCGTGAAAGATGTCCTGGGATCCGCAGTTCCAGATGCTATGAGCCTCTTCATCTATTTCTTGGAAGTCGTTTAGTTTCATCTACCTCCTAGCCATAGGCTGGACAAGGTTTTCTCCTGTTTTCGAGCTTGGCACCGTCTGCGGTTCAAGTGGCAGATGTGCATTGACTCAGCTGGCCGGCATGTCAGGGCTGGTGTGTAGGATACGTTACATGGCCACATAGCGAGGACGTTGCTTTTCAGTTTCTTCATGTTTCGCAGCCTTGCGGAGTCAGCGAGCGCATTGGAGAGTCTCAATCTGAAGCCCTTCTAACCATGATGGGCTGGGGGAGCCTTTTGGCGTCCGCCGCCCTGTCACTTGTGGAGCGGGCTCGAAAGAAGTTTCGTCAAGAGCAGCTAGGGCCAGGAGAAGTGGCGTATTTGGGTCTCATCACTTGCAGGGATGGTTCAATCGTGAGAAACCCAATCCCCCAAGACAAGCTGGCAGCACATATGCTGGCAATCCCTGCAACACCCTTATTCGTCACCTTAAACTCCTAGAAGCCCTCGGATCAGGCCGCGGTTGCCCTGGTGTTCGCCACGATGTCGACACTTTCCGCAGCTTGTTTGCAGAGCGCTGTCACAGACAGGCTGTTCAAGTGTTGAGCGTTCCCCTACCGATTTAGGGGCCTAGTTCAGCAAAAGTTTTTGTCATGGTGTGACCGGAAGAGTTCCGAGGAACAGCACGAGAGTTTCAAGGTCTGGCAGCACTGCAGCGTTTGTCGGTTGGTGTGAGGTTGTCCCTTGTCCTCGAATTCTCTTCTTCCCCTCGACCTCCACCCAGAAGCCAGAGTACCCTCTCACTACCCCTCCATGCCCCAGCCCCACTCCCGCAGAGCATCCTGCACCCCAGCCCCAGCCCCGTGCCTGTAACTATGCCGGCTAGAGTTGTCCCGCAGAGTATCCACCATCCACCAATTTCTTGAAGGGTGGGGATGTTGGAAGTACGTGATTTGCTGGATTCATTCGTTTGCTTCTCTGTGTTTGACCGTTTGCTCAAACCTGACGAGCAACCGAGGCCGTTGCGCGCGATGGTGCCATGGGAGTCTTGGAGGCCCCATGATTCGAGACAGAAGTTCTCAAAGAACAAGAGGACAAGCGTGCACGACGATGTACAAAGTTCAATGAGACGGATTTTTCCACCGTGTGCAGCATGGAGAACCCACGGAAGGTCCCAAATTGAATCGCAAGTAGTCGTGCTCCGACGGAGCCTTCTTCAATTCAGATAAGCGGCTGCAGCAGCCATTCGCCGCAACCTCCCAAAGTCAACTGCAAGCTCACAACATGATTGGAAGCCCCCAACCTCCAAAAGGGGCCAAGCACACCCGCAAATGTAGGACGCCTTGCACCGGCTTGTAGATCTCCTCGGGGCGCCGGCCGCGAACCTGCGTCTTCCGGTGCAGAGCCCGGCGCAACCAAGATTCTTCATTGTGGCTTGAGATCGAGAGTTCTGCCATTCTTTTTCTTCGGGTTTCGGGCAGGTTATAGTCAAGTTAGAGTGTTAGTAGTCGGGATGACGGATAGGGTTTCGTAAGTGCAGGTAATGATTCTAGGCATTAGGCCTAGCCAACGGGTGCTCGACGGAAGGCTCTGTTTCTCCCTCTCTGAGTCTGCTCCATGGCACCTTTAGCCGGATTGCCCCTTCTGCGGTCAGCTTCTTCCGCTTTGTCCTAGCCAGTTCAGGCGTCTAGAGTCTTGAGTGCAGGAACCGCAGTGAACAAAAAGGATCTTTGGTTCCGACCGCTGCGAACTCGCTAAAGAGCCAGATCTTGAAGCTCCACAACATGAAGCCTCTCAAGGCCCTTGCAGCGCGAGAGTTCGAAGACCCTTGCAAGCTCAGAGTATGTCTTTCCGTGAGTACCCGCAATACCCTGAAGCGCCAGCGGTGTTTCGTTGTGGCATGTTAGACTTCCTCATGTGTGCTGCCTAAGGTGGAGTTCTCAATCCTGGATGCCGTTCCGGACGAGCGACCCGGATGCCTTCGTTGCAGCTGTGGTTGTAGGTTCGACGAAATGCTTGTCGGCCTTCTGATGTGCATGTACAAGTCGCTATGAAGCCATGAAGGCTCATGCTTTTCCGTAAGATGCAGCACTGAAAGGAGTGGAGGTCGAAGCCAACCCATGAGGTATGACACTCCGCAAGCCTAATGCTTAAAATATTCTCAAAGTCAGAATCAACGCCCGCCAACGTAGCCATGAATCCCCATCAACTTCCAGCCCCACTCAGGCAGCTCAAGGGTTTCTACCACTTGGACTCGTTTCTGCCCCTTGGCAGTGCTGGGGACGGCGGGCTTCCGATGTCAGATGAACTGAGGTCCCGGTAGCAGGAAAACCAAAGGGACGACTACGAAAATCGCAGAAGTTGCTTGGAGTCCCAGGAAAGAGCCCGACACGGCCGACATGGATGCGTATGTCTTCGTCCCGACGACCAAGTCGAAGCGTTTCGTCTCCTTGGCCACTGCAGTAGCCCCGGTCAACACGGGCGCTTGTGTTTACGAGTCTAACCTGGGGAGTGGGATTAGAGCTTCAACTCGTTGG